ATTACATAATAGAAAATTCTTGTCAGTGGGTTGATTTACCTTTTTGTATAATGGGTTAACTGAATTTCGTGATGCATTTGACATCATCTTGGTTATCTTTATGACATCTATTCGTCAAAGACCTGTCAATCTTCAAAGTGTTTTCTTTGGTTTTCACCAGACAGAGCATCTACCATTAAATTAGATTTTGACACGTCCTAGCCTTAGTTTCACCGTCTTAATACAATGAAACTTTGTAAGATTACGTTGGTTTTTAAAAAGTAATGACCAGCTTCTATTTTCTTAACGTCTTTGACTAGATGGATGTTATTACCATTATTTTTATCTTCAATTGATAGAATTATTTAGCCCAATTTAATTTGTTTATTACATGGTTATTGTAAGATGGACAACATAACATTTCAGATGCCTTTCACTTTTTGTTTCTTTTCAGTGTAATAGGTTATTTTCATGGCAACTTTTGCTCGTTTTTCTATGATAGTCTTGGCTAGCATTAACTATTTCTCTCAATAATGCTTCTGATGTTAAAGAATGGAATGTGGAGAAAATAACTTGAGCCAGGGCCGTCTTTAATATGGATTGGACCCTGGGCAAACATTTGCTTGGGCCCCCTGAACCCGGTCGTCCCCTCCCTGGCATGCAATCATGCCCCCCACCCCAACGCAGAGGCGGACGTAAAGTAGAGAGGGCTCTGGTGCATGAATTATTTTGGGCAAGAGGGGGCAAAAGGTAGATCCCCATCTGTCATGCAACTCCAACAATGCTTTGACAGCTGGGGCGCTACCATTTTCCTATGCATGCAGGGTTATATTTAGCACTGAGCAGTATTTGTGTGTTTGAGTGTAAGCATGTTTTTGTATGGAGTATGTTTGTGTGAATGTAGGGGTGTGTTTGTATGTGGAGATGGCATTTAAATGCAAGTATGCATTTATGTGTAGTGTTGGTTTATGAATACACTGGTGTGTTTATATATAATTTTGTTGTTTAAAAAAAGAGGTGTGTTTATATGTAGTGTTGAAGTTTGAATGCAGGTGTGTATTTGCGTGTAGTGTTGAATGCTGAGATGTATGCACAAATACACATGCACTGTTACAAACACACACACACACACACACTGTGATACACATACACACACAGAAACACTTGCAGATACACAGATATACACAATCATACAGATGCAGCTATACAGACACATTTACACACACTGACACACACACATACAGACACACAACCTGGCACACATGCAGACACACAGATGCACACATGCACACAGATACACTGACAACATACAGATACACAGACACACACAATGACAACATACAGACACACAGATACATAACCTGACAAATGCAGATACAAACATTGGCTACATACAGATACATGCACAGGTATACACACTGGCACACACACACAGATACATACATACTGACAACATACAGATACACGCTGACACACACACACACAGACACTGTGACAGACATACTGACACTGTGACAGACATACATACTGACACATACACAGACATACTGACTGGCACACTGACATACATACAGACACACAAACTGACACACACAGACATACTGACATACACACAGACATACATACTGACACACACACAGACATACATACTGACACACACATAGACATACAAACTGACACATACATACTGACACTCACACAGACATACATACTGACACACACATAGATAATACAAACTGACACACAGACATACTGACACACACAAAGACATACAAACTGACACACACAGACAGACACTCTTCAGTTTCCTACCTTTGAAAGAGGCTTCCTTCCTTGGGGTCCAGTGTGCTGGCTGGGGTAGTTGGGAGTTGGGGGTCTGGCTCTCCTTGCTCCCCCTCCTCACTGGATCCTGGCTAGCAGCCTCCCATGAGGCCCGATATCTTTGAGGTGGGAGGAAGTGATTCGCGGACGTCACTTCCTCCAATGCAGCCGTTAAGCAAGGACCCGGTCGCGCTGTTAAAGGGCCACAGCGCCGACCGGACCCCTGCTGGAACATGCTCACTGGGTGGCCCTAAAGGTATGGGCCACCCGGGGGGGGCCCCTTAGTGTGCGGGCCCCGGTGCAGCCGCAATACTAGCACTGAGGGCCCATTAGGTAGGGAAATATTTTTAAAAAATAATTTTTTATTGCAGGCGACGGGGCCCACGGGGCAGCTGCTTTGGGCCCCCCATGAGTAACTGGGCCCAGGGCAGCTGCCCCGTTTGCCCCTCCTTAAAGACGGCCCTGACTTGAGTGCTTGATAAGTCCAGATAGCCCGTCTGCTTCCACCTTGAGAGACTGTGCTGCATTCTTTGTCTGTAGTCGAATGTTGACCTCTATTTGATCTCTTACAAAAGGAACTTTGATAAGATGGTCTCTGTCCTTAAAAGGTTTATTCCACTGTGGCTTTTTGCAATCTTCAGGCATTTGCTTTGGTAAATAGTCTAATCTGCACCTGAATAGTCTGCCTGGTTCAAATGATGGATCACAGTTCTTTGACGCAGACTAATTTCTTAACCAGACTACCCTTCTTGCCACTGGCGATAAACCCATGGCTTTAGCTGATAATTTCACAGCTTCCAGTGAAGAATCAGTTAAGCAGTGAGATGCCATCTTGATGTTCTGTAGAAGTCAGACTGGGTCTACTTTACACTTCGTATATTCTCTGCAATTATTCTAGCTAGAATATCGGAGCCCTAGCCACAGACATCCCTGCAATGAGAATTTTGAGCTGCAGAAGCAAAACAGTTTCCTTAGTGAGGACTCAGTCAATTTTCCCTGAGAGTCTTTCAGGCTGCTGGAATCAACTATGAAAGGGTAGTTTTCTTTTTCCAGCTGTACTATTGAAACATCTTCCAGTTTACAAATCTGTCTTCATAATAGAATATAATGTTTAAGTGCTTGGAAATAAATGCATGTTATTTCTATTCCCTCAGCACAAGGTTTATTTTGGCACTCTAATTCAAACTACTGAATTTATGGCATTGGGCTGCCAAACCTAAATAAAATTAAGGCTAGTGCACTGTAAGTGGTTGATAAGCCATTTAATATTTGCCATGTAAAACCCATGCATTTTGTACTGACTGATCTCTTCTTGTATGTATTAAGTTAGGTCATACAGGTGACATACAGAAAACCTTTGTCACTCCAGTCTGTTGTACAGTGGAACCTCTGAACTCAAACTGTTAGAAAAGGTTGTTTGAAGACTGAATTTTCCATAGAAATTAGTGTAAAATTGGATTAATTTATTCCAGACCCCCAAAAATACTTAGTTTAACAGATTACAGTTTAATACCTTAAATGCATAAATTACAGAAAACCAATAAACACTGTAAATGAAAATGTAACTTCACGTCAGCTCAGTTTGCTGACAGAATGGAGTTCGCTTTGTCTAGGGCTAGAATGCAGATTAGTCATGCCAACAAGGTTAATGCTGTTTAATTTTGTTCTAATTCAGAACTTTGTTTGGGTACTGAGACATTTTCTTCTTCAAATGATTTGTTCCAATACTGATTTGTTCGAGTAAGGGAGTGTTCCAGAACAGAGGTTTTACTGTATGGGTGTTCAACTGCTACAGATTCTCAGGAGACCACTAAAGCATAGTTACATAGCTGAAAAGAGACTTGCGTCCATCAAGTTCAGCCTACCTCACATTTGTTTTTTTGCTGTTGATCCAAAAGAAGGCAAAAAAAACCCAGTTTGAAGCACAATTTTGCAACAAGCTAGGAAAAAAATTCCTTCTTGACCCCAGAATGGCAGTCAGATTTATCCTTGGATCAAGCAGTTATTACCCTACATTGAAAGATTATATCCTTGAATATTCTGTTCTTGCAAGTATGCATCTAGTAGCCGTTTGAACATCTGTATGGACTCTGATAAAACCACTTCTTCAGGCAGAGAATTCCACATCCTGATTGTTCTTACAGTAAAAAAACCTTTCCTTTGCCTTAGACGAAATCTTCTTTCTTCCAGTCTAAACGCATGGCCTCGTGTCCTATGTAAAGTCCGGTTTGTGAATAGATTTCCACACAATGGTTTGTATTGGCCCCGAATATATTTGTATAATGTTATCATATCCCCTCTCAGGCGACGTTTTTCTAAACTAAATAGGTTTAAATTTGTTAACCTTTCTTCATAGCCTGATATGTTCCATTCCTTTTATTAGTTTTGTAGCCCGCCTCTGCACTTTTTCTAGTGCCATAATATCCTTCTTTAGAACAGGTGCCCAAAATTGCACAGCATATTCAATATGGGGTCTTACCAGTGATTTATAAAGAGGCAAAATTATATTCTTGTCCCGAGAATGAATGCCCTTTTTCATGCATGACAATACCTTACTGGCCTTGGCCACTGCTGATTGACATTGCACATTGTTGCATAGTTTGTTGTCTATAACAATTCCCAAGTCCTTTTCATGTGTTGTTATCCCTAATTCGCTTCCATTAAGGGTATACGTTGCTTGTGTATTCTTTACGCCGAAGTGCATAACTTTGCATTTTTCAACATTAAATTTCATCTGCCATTTGAGTGCCCAGTCCCCAGTCTATCTAAATCCCTCTGCAGCAAAGTAATATCTTGCTCACATTGTATTGTTTTACAAAGTTTGGTGTCATCTGCAAACACTGAAACATGACTTTCAATGCGGTCTTCAAGATCATTTATAAACATGTTAAATAGAAGGGGTCCCAGAACAGACCCCTGAGGGACACCACTTGCCACCTCTGTCCAGCTTGAAAATGTACCATTAATGACAACTCTTTGTACTCTGTTTTTAGCCAATGTTCTACCCAAGAACAAGCATTTTCATCTAGACCGATTTCCTTGAGTTTGAACACTAATCTATTGTGTGGAAATTTATCAAATGCCTTGGCAAAATCCAAATAGATCACATCCACGGCAACATCCTGATCTATACTTCTACTTACTTTTTCGTAGAACGCAATCAAGTTAGTTTGACATGACCGGTGCTTCATAAAACCATGCTGATTTTTGCTGATAACCATGTTCTTCTCAAGGAATTCTTGAATATTATCCCTTAATAACCTTTCAAATATTTTACCAGCCACAGAAGTTAAGCTCATAGGTCTATAATTTCCAGGCAAGGATTTTGAACCCTTTTTGAATATAGGAACCACATCTGCCTTCCTCCAATCCTCCGGAACACTTCCTGAAAGAAAAGAATCTTGAAAGATTAAAAACAGAGGTTCACTTATTTCTGCACTTAGTTCCTTAAGTACACGTGGATGGATACCGTCAGGCCCTGGAGCTTTGTTTATATTAACTTTCTTTAGTTGCTGCAGCACCTTGTCTTGAGTTAACCAATTACAATTATTCTGCAAGTTTTTAGTAGCAATCATTTGCACATCTATTGCCATGGGTTCTTCCTTAATATATACGGAGGAGAAATAGTTATTTAAAATTCCTGCCTTTTCCTGGTGTTCATTAACTAACAAACACCCCCGTTTCAGTTTTTAGTGTACCTACACTTTCATTTTTTATTTTATTTTTTAGAATTTATGTACTTAAAAATGCTTTGGGGTTGGTTTTGCTCTCTTCAGCTATCATTATTTCATTTTGAAGTTTAGCAAGTCTAATTGCCTTTTTGCACGCATTATTTGCATCCTTATATCTTTTATAAGATGCATCTGATTTGTCCGATTTAAATGCTTTAAATGCCCTTTTCTTAGTTGTAATCTCTTGTTTTACTTCTCTACTAAGCCACATTGGTTTTAATTTGTTTCTTTTATATTTATTTCCCAACGGTACATACTGAGAAATGTACCTTTTTAATATTTGTTGGAAGATGATCCATTTATCCTCAGTGTTCTTTTCACTAAAGAGTTTATGCCAGTCAATATATTGTAAAGCTTCCCTTAACTTATTGAAATTGGCCTTTTTAAAATTATATGTTTTAGTATTCCCATGTGCTTTTGTTTTTTTGAGTTTATTTCAAAGGACACTATATTGTGATCACTATTTCCCAAGTGCTCACCTACTTGAATGTTGGTCAAAAGATCAACGTTGTTTGTTAAAACCAGGTCCAGACAAGCATCCATTCTAGTTGGTGCTTGTACAAGTTGTGACATGAAGGTGTCATTTAACAAGTTTAAAAACCTAATTCCCTTTGCTGAGGCACTAGTCCCTCTGTCCCAATTTATATCTGGGTAATTAAAATCTCCAATAATTAAAGTGTTACCCAGATTTGCAGCTTTTTCAATTTGCTCAAACAGCTGTTATCCTTGTCAATATTAACATTAGGTGGTTTATAACATATCCCAACCAATAGTTGGTTTCCCTTCTTTTCCCCCAAGCAGATATTTACCCATAAAGCTTCCACATTATCCTCCTCGCATTCCATTTGCTTAACATTTGGTTTTAAATCATGTTTGACATACAAACATACCCCACCACCCTTCTTGTTTTTCCTATCCTTCCTAAATAACATGTACCCATTTAAGTTAGCTGCCCAGTCATGTGTCTCATCCATCCATGTTTCAGTTATGCCTATTATATCATATTGTTTAGTGTATGCTAATGCCTCTAGTTCCCCCATTTTGTTATTTAGGCTCCTTGCATTAGTAAGCATACATTTAATATTATGCGTCACTTGTATATTTTGTGAATTTGCACCATTACACAGCTTCTCTGTTCTGAGCTTGCCCCTCCCCCTGTTTCCACCCCCCTTATACTGTGCTAAAGCCCATCTCCTTTCTGTCCTATCTCCATTTTGTAGATTGCTATGACCCTCCCCCCCTACTACTGGTTTAAAATCTCCAACCTTCTAGCCATCCTATCCCCCAGCACTGCAGACCCTCTCCCGTTTAGCTGCAATCCATCACCACTATAAAGGTTGTACCCAATCGCAAAGTCGGCCCAGTGCTCTAAAAACCCAAAACCCTCCTTCCTGCACCAAGACTTAAGCCACACATTGACCTCTAATCTCCCGCTGCAGGTAATATCTCAGAGAATACCACCTTGGAGGTCCTTTTCTTAAGTTTGCTACCTAATTCCCTGAAATCATTCTTTAGGACCTTCCATCTTCCTCTTACTTTGTCATTGGTACCAACATGGACCATGACCGCTGGGTCATCCCCAGCCCCTCCCAATAATCCATCCACTCTGTCAGCAACATGCCGGACCCGGGAGACAGCAAACTGTCAGGTTGAGCCGATCAGAGCGGCAGATTGCCCTATCTGCTCTTAATGATAGAGTCCCCTACCACCACAACCTGTCTTGCCTTCCTTACATTTTGATCCCCACCCGTACTAGGGGGGCTGTTAGCTCGGCTGTTAGAAGTAACAGCTTCCTCTAATACAGCTACATCTTCCCTCAAACGGGCAAATCTGCTAGGTTGCACCAAATCAGGACTAGCTAGCCCTTTCCTCTTCCCTCCCCCCTGCTTCCTCGCCCCACTGTCACCCAGCTACATGCCTGTTCCCCATCTGTCTTATCTCCTCCCTCTCCACTACCTGTCCCCACTAAACTCTGCTCAGTGAGCAGTAGACTCCTCTCAAGATTGTCAATCTCCCTCAAAGTTGCGATTTTTTTTTTTTTAAGATCTCCAATCTGAGCTTCCAGAGAAGCCCCTCGCACACAACCATCACAGAGGTATGGACCCTGGATAGGTACATCCAGGCATCCATACATGCAACAAGATGTGCATTGAGTCAAACCAGCAATCTTGCTAACACTCATTTCCCATTGAAACAGAAAAAAAAAAAACCCACCAATTACTTCCTTAGTTTAAAACCCTTGTTTGTTTTAACTCCTGGTTTTCTAACGCCTACTTGAAAGTCTACTTAATAGAGGCTGCTTTCAAATAATGTGAGCAAGCTCAGTGAGTTAGGGGTGTGCCTTTATGGGGATACAAATCCCACACAGGTGCAATTAATGAACACTCCCCCAATCAATCAAGCAGCAGCACAAAAAAAGGGGGGGAAACCAGAACACAAAAAAAGAATTTAAACAAAATGTTTTTATTTTTTTTAAACCTTACCAATTTAAGATTAAACAAAAATAAAATACAAACCACTCCAAGTAACTCCTGGTTTTCTAACTCCTACTTGAAAGTCTACTTAATAGAGGCTGCTTTCAAATAATGTGAGCCTAATAAAGCAGGGCTCGACAAATCCCAGGCGCCTGGGATTTGTCAGCCCGTTCACTCCTACTCCAATCCCAGTGTAGGTTTCTGTGTGCAGGTGTACCAGGAGGAAGTGATCTGTAATTACTTTCTCCCGGCGCTGCAGCAGCACAGAGAACTAGCAAGCTAGGAGGACACTTTGTAAAATTCTCTTCTCCACCCGCCCCTTTCCATAGACCTGACCGCCCACACAATAGTTCCCCTGTGCGGCTTCAGCACCAGGAGGAAGTAATTGCAGATCCCTTAACTCCCTGCCAGCGCAGTGAGCTGCACATGAGAGGAGTCTTAACCAGCGGCAGCCCACTTCTGTTAGTTGCAGGCAATCTAATGTCTGCTGCTGTGCCCAGTCCCACTGGACCCTGGGGAAGCCACTCTCCTGCACCCTAAAAGGTAGGAAACAGGAGAGTGGCTCAAATTAGGTATTCACTTTGTGTGTATCTGTCCTGCATGTAAGTCTGTGTCTGCATGTGTGTATTTGTCTGTGTGCATCTTTAATTCTGTGTGTATCAAATATCTTGTGAGTGTGAGAGGACATTCATGTCTGCATGCATCTGATTCTTTGTATCAAATACATATCTTGTGAGTGAGAATGTGTCTGTGTGTCCTCCGATCACATGGGAATGGTGTTTTTACTCACCTGTTTGCCAGTGCTGTGCCAGTCTCACCACAGCTTGCCTGCCTCCATAACTATCAACATCTCATAGTTAAGTATTAAAGCAATGCATCTCTAGGGGGAACGTTTAATCCTGCCTCTATGCTGAATGTAGGTGCTACACATGAGATAGACACTTTAATGGCCATTTGAGTGATTGCCACTAGAGGTGTTAATAGGCAGCAAGGTAAACACTGCCTTCTCTGAAAATCCTACAGAGACAGGTTAGACACCAGAGTCACTAAATTAAGCTGTAGTGTTTCTGGTGACTATAGGGTCCCTTTAAGAATTGTATTTTTGACTTTGGAAACACTGGCTCCTTGGTGGAAAGCAAATTTGTCAAGCACTGCATTAAAGCATCTATTTTAATATTCATTTATGCTTGAGCCATTTTGTCATTGTGGTACTTTCTAACCAGTTTTAGAGTGGGTAAACTTGAGTCAGCCATGATTTGATGCTTATAGAAGCTTGTCAATACACCAAACATGATCCCACATTCACCATTATAAGACACATTTTAATAGGCAGGTTCTTCAGCTTGAGTTATTTATGCTAATAAGTAAACACCTCAGCTTTTAACCCCTTAAGGACTGGACTTTTTGCGATGTACATTTGCGACCAGGCATATTTTTACACTTGTGGTGTTTGGCTGTAATTTTCCGCTCTCATTTACTGTTCCCATACAAATTATATATTGTTTTTTCCAGAACAAAAGGGGCTTTTACATACCATTTATATAATCTCATGTATTTTAATTTAAAAAATTAAATAGATGAAAAATTGAATACGTTTGACTTTTACTTGAAAAATCTTTTACTCATCTACAAAAGCGAATGAAAAAACTGCTAAATAGATTCAAAATTTTGTCCTGAGTTTAAAAATACCTAGTGTTTACGTGCTTTTTTTGCATTGTATAGGGCTATAGGTACAAGTAGGATATTGCGGTTTCAAAACATACATTTTTAAAATTTATCAATAGTGACATTGTAACACTATTATCTGTCATAAATCTCTGAACACCCCACATGTACATATTTTTTTAAAGTAGACAACCCAGGGTATTCAGTATGGGGTATGTCCAGTCTTTTTTAGTAGCCACTTAGTCGAAAACACTGGCCAAAGTAAGCATTCATATTTGTGTGAAAAAAGTAAAAACTAAACTGAACGCTAATTTTGGCCAGTGTTTGTGACCAAGTGGTTACTAAAAAAGACGGGACATACCCCATTTGCAATACCTTGGGTTGTCTTCTTTTGCAAATGGTATGCCATCATGGGGGTAATTCTCATTCCTGGGCTACCATACGCTCTCAAAGGCAACGTAACTAACCTGGCCATTTTCAATGTAAAAATATTTGACCCATATATTTGACCTTGTAACTTTCAAAAATGCTATAAAACCTGTACATGGGGGGTACTGTTTTACTCGGGAGACATCGCTGAACACAAATATTAGTGTTTTAAAACTGGAAAACGTATCACAACAATTATATCATCAGTAAAAGTGCTGTTTGTGTGTGAAAAATGCAAAAAAAGTCACTTTCACTGACAATATCATCGCTGTGATATGTTTTACTGTTTTGAATCACTAATATGTGTTCAGCGAAGTCTCCCGAGTAAAACAGTACCCCCATGTACAGGTTTTAGGGTGTCGTAGAACGTTACAGGGTAAAATACAGTGCTAGCAAATTAAATTCTCTGGAATTTCGGCCTGGGTTGGCAGGCAGGTCCCTCAAATTGCAATCAATAAAATTACTGAATTATGTAAAAATATTCCATAAATATGCATGTAGAATTTAAATATATATGCTTATATATTTGAAGTCTACGTGTATATTTATATAATTTTGTATATGGACATACGAAATATACATATTTTTATATACATAGATATATACAAATTCATTCTAAGTGTATTTTGATATAAATATATTAATTTTAAAATACAGTTAGAATAAAATTTCATATAGCTATATAATTTAAAAAAATTTAAAAAAAAAATTTAAATTACATATTTAATATATACAATATATAATTATATATTAACTGTGTGTAATTTAATTATAAGTGTTTTATATTAATATAAGTACATATTAATATAAAAATACACTTAGTATGATATATATGATATAGACATATAGATATAATATATGTATATATCATATATACACAGATAAAAAAAATTTATTTTTAATTAACACTAACTTTATTTTTTTTATTGATTTTACACTAGCAGGGAGACTGCCTGTCAGCACAGACAGTCCCCCTGCAGGCAGACACTAGGACCCCTATTGTGACCATGTGATCGCTGTGTTGAGTGATCACATGGCCACAGGGGTCCTAATTCAGTGTGGGGAGACTGTCTGGGCTGCAGGCAGTCTCCCCACAACCGGAGCCACGCTGATCGCCGCCGGGGGAATGACAGCGATCAGGTAGGTAAATAGGACTGTTAGGACGGGAAGGGGTTAAAAAGCAGTTTAGAAATACCACCAATTAAAAAAATTAAAAAAGTTGATATTTAGCTCTACTAGTGATTGCAATTTTCCCCAATTGGACAGCTGATTAACCATTTAAGTTAACAGTTTCTAGATGAAATGTGGTGTTTAAGTGATGCCAGCATACTGAATGCTTGAGAGGTGCAGTGAAAACTTTACTGTAATAAGTACTTACAAATTGAAGTTTATTCAAATATGTACAACCACCTCAGATCAAGGCCAACAGATTAAAAACTATTTACAGAATATAAAGTAGAAAAATACATAGTATTTGCTGTAGAGACAAGTGACCAGTTGGAATACAAACATTTCCAGATATAGTCTAGTCCAATTGAGAAGTCATTGGATGTTCCATAAACTTTAAAATCAAAGCGTACTGCCTTTGGAAGAGTATGAAATTGCTTTCTTTAAGTGTGGGGGGAGTTTTTCCATCCCAGATAATCAAGATTAGTTTGGCCACTTTAAAATAAAAGTCAAATGACAGTCCACCATAGTTTAAACAGATGCTTCATTCATACTATCAGAACTTAAGTCCTGTTCCTCCTCACACTCTGCTTCATCACACCTTGCTTCTTCCAAGTCTAAATTTTTTAGATCTTCAAGGCTCTGTGGGGCACTTCCAGTTAGCCTCTGGAGGAGAAAAAAAAAAAAAAAAAACACATTAATTTTAGTCAGACACCTGATTTGTAGTGAATTCTTATCTGAATGACCGTTTATGAAACCGTATCTGGAAGAGATACAACTTTTATATCACATTCTGGCTATTTAGGCATGCAGGTTTCAATATGGCATTTAGATTGTAAACTCGCATGTCTAGAATTTCATGTAGTTTGACGTGAAAAGTTTGCTTGTTAAAGAGAAAGTCACCTTAACACCATTTAAGATCAAGTATAGAAAGTAATTTGTTAAAAAATTTGAGAAGCTCACGTGTACCTGTAGTATATGACTGGATCATTAAGCTACACACTAACTTTTGCCCAGAGAGTGTTGGACAGTCAGTCTGAGGTCACTTCACAGGAAGACCATTGAAACACTGTCACATTGAAAACACTAACAAGGTGCATGTATATAACTAGACCTGTCATAAAGGGAGGGTTGTTTTTACATATACTGAATTTAATAATTCAGTTCACAACAACTTGAAAGGATTATATTAAAGTGAGGTGACTATTGTCCTTTAAGTCACCAAGCGCTTTGTCTATTACAGGCATAGGCAACTGTCGTACTCCAGATGTTTTGGACTATACCGCCCATGATGGTTTGCCAGCATTATTGTGTAAGCATTGTGGGGGATGTAGTCATCAGGAGTGCCAAATGTGGCCTCTCTCTGGTCTATTAGATGCTAAGGTTAGTGGAAACCAGGTTAAGATCAAAATGTTTCTAGAATGGAGAGAGTTTAAAGAGGAACTATACTGCAAGAAAAAAAAAAATTCTCATTAAAAAGGAATGCAAGCCAGTGACTATTTTAGTTTGTGGTACAGTGCTAGAGAATTCCTTGAAAAGGAATCATTGTGCATCAGCAGGCATAGAGACAAAACTGATACATTGAGTGGAAGTATGGTAAATTGACTTGCAAAGTGATGCAGACTTTATCAGTACACAATATAACTTACATTAGCAGGTAAACAGCCTCAGCTACAGTTTGTCACTTACCTCAATCATATTAGTCATGTATTGCACATGTCCAGCAAGCTCCATTAACTCGTCATTTTCCTGCTTCAAGCGCTCGATTTCATTATCTTTGAATTCTATTTCTTTGTGTAGCTATAGAAGGTTACAAAAAAGTTGCAGATTAGCAATTGTGTGACCAGTACATACAAAGGTGCACCAAGCTTAGGTACCCTGTAGGAGGTAAACATTTACATAGCATGTACCAGCATTTGCTTGGAAACTAGAAAGCTAGTCTTACGCAATTGGTACTTTAACCCCCTTGAATACTGCTTTATAAGTAGTCATTGTGGTAGGAATCCATGTACAGTGTTTCATCTTTAGATGATTCACATTCAGAAATGGCAGTAGTGCCCTTACTAGCTTCACCCCTGGCACGTTACTTAGGCAGTCTAGAACTTTGACAGACTTCATATTGGGCAGCCTTGTACAGTGTGCTTGTAATAGGAGGCCTAGATCTCTCCACTAGTACCTGGCATGGCTCAGAGCATGTGTAGAAGCATACAATAGGACAGTGGAGAAGGAAGTGATTCAACATCGAAACTATTGTTCTTACCCTGGTGCTAGATGGAAGTTTTATGTTCTATTTACAGTGTGAGTGAACATAAGTGCCCAGTAGGGCAGTATAAGTTAAGTGACAATGTAAGCCTACCTTTTCATTCTCTTGCAGTACTTCATAAAGTGCCTTTCTTCTTTCCTCTGCTATTTCCTTCCAGTAGAGGTAAGTAGGATTCTCTGAAAAAAAATTAAAAAAAAAAATCAGAACTTGTGTTAAAGACTTTAAAATGCTTTTGCACTACCAAGTTAACCAGAGTTTGCTAAAGTTAAAATTAAAAGCAGTTAAATGTACCTTTCACCATAAGTTCAAATGCTTCATTTGAACATCCTCGATTTTCTCCTTGTTCTGGGTCAATAGCAATTTCCACTTTCGCTTTCTTTGACGATTGCTGATCGTTCCACAGTTTTCTTTTTGTAGAATTCTTGGTGGGCTGTAAGTTATAATATAACTATTAATGCTTACAGTGCAAGATAGTTTATTGCATTATTTCTACAATTCTGCATTTGGAAGACAAGTGATCATTAACAAACATGATTTAGACCAGTCATGATAGACTTTAATGCATGTCTTCAGGTTTTTCGTTATAGCTCTAAAATTTTGATTAAGAATTAGGTTTCTTAATATGCAAGTTACTCAACCCGATTAAAGTCACATTTTCTGAAGACCGATAAGATAAAGTAGAAAATGGCTATTGTGCAAGAAGAGGTTTTCCATACCTCTTTATCTCTTCCAACAAGATGGCCAGCTGCAGAGGGTTGGATAACCTTTAGAGTCCTCCTTGGAGCAACACAGGCATTTGTCTTATCCACCAAGTAGTTCTGAAAATAAAGGTTTTAAAGATCTTTAAGTTTCCTAGAACATTGTGACAATGGGAAATTATAGGTTTACTGACCATGCAGCGTTAACTTAAGGCCAGACAATTCATTGTTTTACAAGACTATCAGCCCACTTTGTATAAACAAGTTGGTTACAGTCAATAAGCAGGTTTGACTTTAAATAGCTAGCTACATTACCTTCATGCCATTGCAAACAAAAAGGTAGCTAGCTAAATAGGTTAGAAGTGTATCACTACATTACCGTGAGAAAGTTGCTGATTCACATTGTACTCTACATGACACAAGCACAACTTTCCCACGGTCAGGTTGCTGATTATTATCTGACTGTCACTCTACAAAACAAATGGCAAAGACTGTGGGAACCAACATTGCTAAACATTTCAGCTATTATTTAAAACCTTTCAAAGTTATGGATTAGTTGACATTCACCAAATTGCAACACTTGACACCAGTGGCTCAAATGACAAAACCGAGCATGTAGTTTACCTATCTTATGGGAAAATCTTACTTGTTCAAGCTGCAGTTAGGACTACTACTATACTTCTAACTTTTTGCCTTTGTAGCAAGTAATTTTTAACCCTTCAAAATACAAGAGCTAAAGAGATTAATACATTAGCATTTATTAAGTGACGTATTAAAAATAAACCACCATTTAAATGCATCTACAGACTACAACATTGGTTTAATCAGATGAGATTCTAAATACCCATCTGCATAATCACCAAGATTTAGGTACAGCATTTAGTGTATGGAACAGCCATAACAAAATAGCATTCCAAACTATGTCACTGCATTTTCAATGACCTACTCAAAAGTAACTTATAGTGCTTATTTTTATGGCAGACATTGAAAGTTATATTATAAAGTCAAAATTACATTTTCAGATTAGATTTGATTCTAGCTTTTTTCAATCCGAGTAAAATATTGGATATATGTTTAGTTACCTTTGACATTGAAGGCTTCTCTGAGTCAGATCTCTGCTTCATATTTGTATTCATTTCAGGTCTACAAAAAATAAAAATCCACCTGTTGATTAGAGCAGTTCCTTTTTTTTTCAGCCTACACAACTAGACAGGGGGACTTGAAATAAAGATGTTACAAAGAATCAAAACCAGTTTATACTTAAGTCAATTTTGGACAATTATCTAGGCTTTACATCTGCTACATTACAATTTAAATAGTCATTTGTCTCAGACTCACTTAACAAGTAATTGATAGAAACCATGCTGGCTCATTTTAGATTAGCAGCAAGAATGCAGTCACATGGGTTTTACTTTTGACTAGGCATCAAGTTTTTATTGACCAAAATGTAAAAGTCATGTCATTTAGCCAACAAAAATCCAGCCACACCAGTTGCAAGAAATTAAGCAATTATTGAATATCAGTATGTAATTAAAAATTAAGGAATACAACAGCAAGCTAGACAAAATACCTGGTCTGTTCATATACCAAAGGTATACACCGTTTAGTTCTGTGTAGCAAGTAAACCCAGCATAGACTTAAAGGACCACTATAGTGCCAGGAAAACTTGTTTTCCTGGCACTATAGTGCCCTGAGGGTGCCCCCGCCCTCAGGGACCCCCTCCCGCCCGGCTCTGGGGAGTGGAGAGGGTTAAAACTTACCTTTTTTCCAGCGCCAGGAGCTCTCCTCCTCCGATCCTCCCATTTGGCTGAATGCGTGCACATTAAGCAGGTCTCATAGGAAAGCTTTCATAATGCTTTCCTATGGATGCTTGCATGTTCTCACTGATTTTTCAATGAGACAGCCACTAGAGGATTTGGAGGATGGATTAACCCATTTATAAACATAGCAGTTTCTCTGAAACTGTTATGTTTATTTAAAAAAAAAAATATGGGTTAATCCTAGAGGGACCTGGCACCCAGACCACTTCATTAAGCTGAAGTGGTCTGGGTGCCTAGAGTGGTCTTTTAAGATGTAAGTCACCCCACTACTCATTTAGTGTACCTAATGCCTTCTAAGCATACTGAGTAATTACAGACTTTTTTTACACAAGTTTTAATTTGTTAGAGTTTTACAAGGGCCATGTTTGAGATCAGAGTTGGGAGGGAAAGACTTACAAATGTTATATTCTGAAACCAGTCCATTCACAGAAACACATTAAGTAGTTAACTCCCTTCATGTTTTAATCCCGTTACTAACCCACATTACTATGTTAAACGTTGAGTGCTTTTTCCAGTGCCAAGACAGTCTGCTCACTATCCTGTTCTACCTTTGCAACATTAGTTCTAAGGAACACTGCCTCAGTTAAAAACAGAGGCTAGTGTCATTACTCCAGACCACACCAGGCCAATTTGTTGCCTTGGCATCATCTTGCTCGGTGTTACGCCAGGATATTAACTAAGTGGCTATGGAGGCGATTGACAGCCAGTAGGTGTGCATGTATTTTTATTTCTTAGTGTCCCTTTAAGCAAACTAAGAAATCACATGTTAAGTGGTCAGTTCCAATTACAAGCACAACACAGACAGCTCCCATAGCACTGCATGGGGACTGGAAACAAAGCTGCCTCTCACACAGACACGGCCAGCCACATCCACAGAGTAAAGCTGCCTCTCACACAGACACGGCCAGCCACATCCACAGAGTAAAGCTGCCTCTCTCACACAGACACGGCCAGCCACATCCACAGAGTAAAGCTGCCTCTCTCACACAGACACGGCCAGCCACATCCACAGAGTAAAGCTGCCTCTCACACAGACACGGCCAGCCACATCCACAGAGTAAAGCTGCCTCTCACACAGACACGGCCAGCCACATCCACAGAGTAAAGCTGCCTCTCACAGACAGTGAGGTTAAGTGAGGCCGCCCATAGACATGGTATAGCCTACACTAAATACTGCAAAGCATCATGGAAGTTGTAGTTGTATAGCAGGCGGCAGACTCCAGTACAGTAAGTCCTCACAGTGTGTAGGTAGCGCTGATAGCCGGCCAGCCATGACCACACTCGGTATGATGAGCTCCGGGCTCGGAGCCCGCTCTCCGCCATCACACGGTGAGGGACCGGCTCACATGAGCCACACGCAGGCCGAGCACCGCCCGACACCGCGGCCAATGGGAGACGGCGGAACACAGCGCCAAAACCTGAACAGCGGCCGGATTACACCGAGCCCGGCATCCAGCCCCCCGCCATACGAGCCCGCACCCAGCCCGGCATCCAGCCCCGCCATCCACCAGCCTCGGCATCCAGCCCCCTGCCATCACACCGAGCCCGGGAGCGCATCCAGCCCCCCCGTTATCACACCGAGCCCGGCATCCAGCCCCGCCATCCACTGACCTCAACCCACTGGCCCGGCATCCAGCCCCCCGCCCCCTTCCCCCTCCGTTATCACACACATGAGCCCGGCACCCAGCCCCGCCCCCGTTATCACACCGAGCCCGGCATCCAGCCCCCCGTTATCACACCGAGCCCGGCATCCAGCCCCCCTCGCCCCCCGTTATCACACCGAGCCCGGCACCCAGCCCCGGAAACCCTCAGCCTTACACATCGTCAACAGCAGCTCCCTGACCGCCGCCAGCCTCCATTACTACAGAAACCAAATACATTAACACAGCGCTACAGGGCTGGCACGAGACCCGGTAAACTGCCGCCACCCGCTACGGCGCGAAGCCGATCACGTACCTGCGCGCGAGCATCAACCTCAGTTTGTCCTTCTCACTGTGTTATGGTCCAACCTTCCCGCGCTCTGCCCCCTTCTTATACTGTGCGCCAACGCTGTCACGTGACCCGCCTTCCCGCGCTCCGCCTATTCTTATCATGTCCTTCACTGAGTCATCAGTGACCTGCCAGGGGGGCTGGGCAGGAGTCCATTCAATTCCCAGTAATTACATACTGCCTGTACATCACTGTTTTACTTGATTAATTACAGCAATATTAGAAATACCATTGATATGTTATTCTTTACTTTATGGGTCCAATGTTTTCTTTCTTTTTTTTAAGTAATGTGCAGAAAGCCATTAAAGGTACCTGTGATCCAGGTGACAGACATTTGGCTCACTTCATCTCATTCTGCCCACCTTCAAATCTTAATTTCAATCTTAAATCATAATGATCACTTGGATAATAAGATGCTTCTCGCAGATCTATTCTCATAGAGGAGCACTGAATCCAATGCTTCTCACTGAGATGCTGAGTGAAATGATGCCAAAATTCACGGATTTTACTATTACCATGACGTAAAGTCATGATTTTATTAAAGACACGGAGGCGAGTATTATGCATAACTCTTTCTTTATTTCCTCAGCAGCAAAGAAAAAACTTTATAAACATAACCAATGATAACATTAACCCCTTAGCGACCGAGGACGGTTCAGGACCATCATCGGCATTTTTGCCTTGAGGACCTATGACGGTCCTGAACCGTCCTAACGGTCTCCGTTACTTACCTGATCACCGTCGTTCCCCCGGCTGCAATCAGCGTGGCTCCGGTTGTGGGGAGACTGCCTGCAGCCCAGACAGTCTCCCCACACTGAATTAGGACCCCTGTGGCCATGTGATCGCTTAACAGAGCGATCACATGGCCACAATAGGTGTCCATGTGTCTGCCTGCAGGGGGACTGTCTGTGCTGACAGGCAGTCTCCCTGCTAGTGTAAAATCAATAAAAAAAATAAAGTTAGTGTTAATTAAAAATAAAAAAAATTATATTTGTGTATATATGATATATAGATATATTGTATATATTATATATATATGTCTATATATCATATATATATAATGCCATACTAAGTGTATTTTTATATTAATATGTACTTATATTAATATAAAAATACACTTATAATTAAATTACACACATATATATATAATATATATAATAACTATATATATTGTATATATATATTATTATAAAATATAAATAATAAGTAATTTAAATTAAATAAATTTTTTTTTAAATAATAATAAAAAATTTTAAAAAAATTATATAGCTATATGAAATTTTATTCTAACTGTATTTTAAAATTAATATATATATATTTATATCAAAATACACTTAGAATGAATTTGTATATATATCTATGTATATAAAAATAAATAAAAATAATAAGAAATATACATATGTCCATATACAAAATTACATAAATAATTATATAGGCTTCAGGGGGCCTGACCGCTGAGAGGAAAGGATGCAGACCTGGTTAGCTCCTGCTCTGCAGCGATAATTAAGCTGAATTAGGCCACCTAAACGGGACCTGATCGGCCCAAAAAGACTACCAACCGGAAGGTGACAACCAGGGGCACACAACCATGCCACACAAGCGACAAACTTGGTACACAACATCTGCCCTTCCTACGAGGCCTACACGCATGGTCAGCACCAGGGAGACGGCCGCTCCCCCGCTGACATCCACGGCTGACAAGCGGAGACCAGACCCTCATTCCCCCCCCTCTGGACCGGTGGGGGTTATCCCGGTCTACCCTCGGGAGACCCTGGCACGACCCGGCGAGAAAGCTGAGGAGATGCAGGGGCCTGCAACAAACGGTGGCACTACACCTAAAATGGCGGAAGCAGCATGCTCCCCCAATACTCACAGTGAGCAGCCAGACATAGAGCAATGGCTGGACAGGGCCTTCCAGACTCTATGGGACAAGCTGGAAGCCCTTATGTTCCCGGAGAACACTAAGGCAGTGCCTGTCATCAAGCCACGTACTCACCTGAGTGAAACCAAACAGGTGCAGGCACGGGCACCTCGAGTACCGAGCCGCCCAGAAGGTCGGAAGCAGCGAGACACTCACCAGCGGCAGGAGACCGAAGACCTGTCAGGCGGCAATAGGAACCGTCAAGAAATCGTGCGGACACACACCAGCCCGATCTCCCACCAACCTAACGGAGAGGGCCTGTCACCAATGATCATGGCAGAGGGGCTGGAGAAATGGGAGACCACACAGCAAGTACCCCCGCCAGCGATCATCAACTTTGCCGACAAGCACAGCTCACTTACAGCGGAGCCGACTCTACACGCACATACTGCAGCGCGGCGGCATCGAAGAGGGAACACAGAAGACGCCCAGCAACAAGCCACAAACAGCGATGTCCAACTACCTCTCAGGGCGCACACCAACCTCCAGAGGCACAAATGTGGCAGGCTTACCCCAACAGGACTGCAGCCCAAGGGACTCGATAGCTACACCGCAAGGCAACACCACGTGCAACAGCAGCCCCAACGAGGCATTGGGTGAACCGGGACACTAGCTATCCTGGCCGTGAGACCTCACACAATGACAAAGTCATAGCTGGAACTCACGACCTTAGGGGCATACCTCACTAAATGCCGACTTTTGCCTGGGGGACCCCAGGGGACTTTATTAATTTGTTTGACTTATCTCTCCATTGGCACTGTCTTCGTTAACCTGAAATGATTATCCCTCACTAGCACAGCTAACGATTATAGAATTTTCTTTAAGTTATAGACCATCCCTCTCTCAGGCTAGAAAAGGGTCACAAACATGACTTTAACAAAACAAATGTGGTAAAGCTTGCAAGCCTCATTCTAGCCTACCTTGGTATGTTTTCAATGTTAAAGTGTATTTTATAAACAGTGCAGTGAACTAGATCCGTAACTATCAGTGACCAAATACTTCTGTGATTATAGCCTGCAAACTCCTAATTATATACTGTGTTACTTTAATCCTGCTCATGTAAGTTTAGCATAATTATTTTCTGTTTGACTAGCTTATGACATAGCGTAAAACCCTACTATCTAGAAAGATACAAGCGATGTTGTTCCGTGTTATGTTTTGAAATGCTTAAGCAACGTACCTATATACTGTTCATAACATTACTAACTTAAAAATGTGCTAGATCCAATGTCTACCCCAATGTTTAAACTGTTTATCATGCGCTAGAGGACTGCCTTTGGGGTACCTCACAGGCGACTGTTATAATCACATGCACAACTAAAATAAAGAATTAAAAAAAAAAAAAAAATAGAAAAATATGCTTCAAGGGATAATGTAGGCACTTTAACAACTTCATTTTAATGAAGCTGTCAGTGCCTGAACTGCAGTCCTGTTTTTGCTCCCAAAATCCAATATTAAACTAATTAGAGGGCTTGGAGGTGTGTCTTTCAGCCATGCCTCCAAGCCCTCTGGGTTCTCATACAGTGACAGCACACGTGCATGTGCAGTGTCATCACGGTTGGCCATAGAGAATCATTGTATTCTCTATGCCAGAATCTTAGGTGCATCATGGCAAGCGCAGCGCATGCTCGTAAGGTGCTCCAAGCTCCTTTATGAGCATCATTTGAATTTGGCTGTTCCTCAAGGATGACATCAATCGAGGAGAAGGTTGCGTCAGTGCCGAGGGAGACTCTGCCCTGGAGAAATGGTGCTAACTAAACAACAAGGCGCATCAGGGCAGTAGTATTAGGAATACAGATATGTATTCTTAATGCTACAGTGTTCCTTTCATTTACAAATTGTAAGCTGTGCTCCTTGAGAACATCTTCTTGTTTGTTTATGCTAACTATAGAGAGGGATACAGTATACAAACTCTGAGGCTCCTAGCCTTGCATGTAACAGAAGGCATTCTAGGCAGTTATGCCAAACTCAGCTCCAGCAAATAGATGTGTTGTCTCTTCTAAGTGCAAATTTAATTTTTTAAATGTTGTCATTTTTATTGTAAGTTTAAAAATGTAAGCCAAATAAAAATATTAAAGTATATAAATAATTATATAAATATACACGTAGACTTCAAATATATAAATATGCATATATATTTAAATTCTACGTGCGTATTTATGTAATAGTTTTACATAATTCAGTAATTTTATTGATTGCAATTTAAGGGACCTGCCTGCCAACCCAGGCTGAAATTCCAGAGAATTGAATTTGCTAGCACTGTATTTTACCCTGTAATGTTCTACGACACCCTAAAACCTGTACATGGGGGGTACTGTTTTACTCGGGAGACTTCGCTGAACACAAATATTAGTGATTCAAAACAGTAAAACATATCACAGCGATGATATTGTCAGTGAAAGTGACTTTTTGCATTTTTCACACACAAACAGCACTTTTACTGATGATATAATTGTTGTGATACGTTTTCCAGTTTTTAAACACTAACATTTGTGTTCAGCAAAGTCTCCTGAGTAAAACAGTACCCCCCATGTACAGGTTTTATAGTATTTTTGAAAGTTGCAAGGTCAAATATATGGGTCAAATATTTTTACATTGAAAATGGCCAGGTTGGTTACGTTGCCTTTGAGAGCGTATGGTAGCCCAGGAATGAGAATTACCCCATGATGGCATACCATTTGCAAAAGAAGACAACCCAAGGTATTGCAAATGGGGTATGTCCAGTCTTTTTTAGTAACCACTTAGTCACAAACACTGGCCAAAATTAGCGCTCAATTTAGTTTTTTACTTTTTTCACACACAAACATATGAATGCTAACTTTGGCCAGTGTTTGCAACTAAGTGGCTACTAAAAAAGACTGGACATACCCCATATTGAATACCCTGGGTTGTCTACTTTAAAAAAAATATGTACATGTGGGGTGTTATTCATAGATTTATGACAGATAATAGTGTTACAATGTCACTATTGATAAATTTAAAAAATGTATGTTTTGAAACTGCAATATTCTACTTGTACCTATAGCCCTATAACATGCAAAAAAAAGCAAAAAAGCATGTAAACACGGGGTATTTTTAAACTCAGGACAAAATTTTGAATCTATTTAGCAGTTTTTTAATTCGCTTTTGTAGATGAGTAAAAGATTTTTCAAGTAAAAGTCAAAAAACATGTATTTTTCTCAATTTTTCATCAGATTTTTGTATTTTTTTTAAATTAAAATACATGAGATTATATAAATAATGGTATGTAAAGAAAGCCCCTTTTGTCCTGAAAAAACAATATATAATTTGTATGGGAACAGTAAATGAGAGAGCGGAAAATTCCAGCCAAACACAAACACCACAAAAGTGTAAAAATATGCCTGGTCGCAAATGTACAACATCGCAAAAACAGTCCAGTCCTTAAGGGGTTAACAGTCTCAGGTGTATTCTTCCCAGTAACAGGAACAGCCAATCAGGATCCACTTCTCCAGCATAATAGGCTCTGTCAACCAATCCTGTTCCTCTTTATTTGCAATCCCGAAGTAGTATAATTATCCAACCAAACGTTGAACTGCATAGAACATGGTTTTCCCAGTAGATGTGAGGTAGGCTGTAAGAGAGGAAAAATATGGTAATATCTTAGCATAAAACTGAGTGTATGCATATTCATAGATATTCAAGATAGTGTTTGGTCAGTGTTGTGTCCAAGGGAATATTGTTGTTTAACCTAGAAATGTTGGTGGCCAGATAGGCCATTAGTGATCGTAGCTAAGACTTACCTTGATCTAAGTACAACTGTAATGTAATAATCTGGCGATTACAACTGTAACAAATATACATAGTAAAATGACTTACCGTAGGTCAACTTACCCAACTTCCGTCTATCCTTCCACCGTCGTCGGGTGAGAGGGAGGGATAATACTCGCCTCTGTGTCATTAATAAAATCATGACTTTACGTCATGGTAATAGTAAAATCCGTGAATTTTATTAAGACACGGAGGCTCCTATTATGCTGGTTGAAAGCTGAGAAACTACCGTTCCCGCAAAGTGGTGTATTGGTTTGAAGTAAAAATCACGGAAGGTAGATTCTGAAGACCAGTCGGCTGCTTTTAGGATGTCTTCCAGGCGACAACCCATCGAAGAGGCTTTGGAAGCCATTGCTCCTCGTATGGAGTGTGGTGAAAATATGGAGGTGTCTATGCCTGCCGTAGCCATGATCCATTTGACCCAGCGAGCCAGGGTCGTGGTAGACACTGGTAGATGTGGTCTCTGGAAGGAGATGAAGAGTTCATGTTTAGATGGGTCCCGTAATGTCCTGGTGCGAAGTTCATAGGTTTGTAGGCATTTAACCGGACACAAGAGAGGTTTGTCAGGAAAAGCTGGATATGTCACTCTCTTTGTTGTGCTTTTTGTTCTCCGTGATATATCGAAAGTGACCCCTTCCGGAGTGTAGGAACGTGCGGTGACGTCTAAGGCTCTAACGTCCGAGACCCGTTTGCAGGATATGAGACATAGGAGCATGACCAGTTTCGCCGACAGTTGTTTCAGAGACAGTGTTGCGTTATCTGGCCAAGATTCGAGGAAGTGGAGGATGATGGAGACGTCCCACAGTACGGAATAGCGTGGTAGCGGAGGTCTTGCGAATCTAATGCCGCGTAGGACTCGGCATATCAGTGGATGGCGTCCTATCGGTGCGCTATCGATGCCTTGGTGTGCGGTAGAAATGGCCGATCTGTAGAGGTTTACCGTGCGATATGCTTTGCCGCTTTCAAATAAGGATGTTAGAAATTGCAGGATCGAAGTCAGAGGAGCCGATATGGGATCCAAGTTCCGTTCCATGCACCAATCGTGCCATTTGCGCCAAGCAGATTTATAAGCTTGTCTCGTGCCGGGTGCCCATGCGCTCTCGAGAAGTTGGAGAGTCGATTCCGAAATTCCTTCGATTGAGTAGGGCTCCTGGAAATCAGCCACGCTGTGAGGTGTAGTAACTCTTGTTGAATCAGGGGATGGGGGGACCCGTCCGGTTCTCGAAGTAGGTAGTCGAAGTGTGGGAGAGTGCGGGGTATGTCTATCGCCATCTCCAACAGGGAAGGGAACCATGGTTGTGACGGCCATAATGGCGCCACGAGCACTGCCGTTCCCGTCTGTCGCCGTAGTTGTAGTAGGCAGTGGGGAATCAATGCAAAGGGAGGAAACGCGTAGTTCCTTTCGGAGGACCAGTCTTGGGTAAAGGCATCTGTTGCCAATGCTGCCGGGTCCGGTTTCCAACTGAAAAATCTGGGAAGTTGATTGTTCAAACGGGAGGCGAACAAGTCCATGTCCAGAGGACCCCATAGAGACTGGATGTCTTGGAAGTTCCCTGGGTTCCAGGTGCCAGTCGCTGGAATCTCTGAGGTGCCTTGAGTACCAATCCGCCGTGGTATTGCAGAGGCCCGGAATGTATTCCGCTGTGACTGAAATGCCGTGTGCCAGGCAAAACTGCCAAAAGTCTCGTGCCAAATTCGCCAGGACCTTCGATTTCGTGCCGCCCAAGTGATTTATATAACGGACTGCCGATACATTGTCCATCCTTAAAAGGATGGCACATCGGGCTTGAGTCGGTGAAAAACTGCGGATTGCAAAAGAACCGGCTAGGAGTTCTAGGCAATTGATGTGAAGCGTCGATTCCACTTCGGACCATCTGCCACTGGTAGAGACATTGCCACAGCGTGCGCCCCAACCGTGCAAGCTCGCATCGGATTCTATTATTATATCTGGTTCGGTACCGAAAATGGCCCGGCCATTCCAGGCGTCCATATGGGAGAGCCACCATCTGAGTTCTGTTTTTGCTTCTATGTCCAGAGCGATCATGTCCGTGTATGAGGTCCCGTCTCTCAAATGGGAGGCTTGCAGGCGCTGTAGCGCTCGATAGTGTAGAGGGCCCGGGAAGATGGCCTGTATGGAGGCCGCCAAGAGGCCGATCACTCTCACCAATTGTTTTAGGGAGATCAGGGGGGTCGTCAGAGTGCGTTTGATCTCCTTCTTTATGGTGGTCAATTTCGCCGCCGGTAAGTGTAGGGTCTGTAGAGTAGAGTCCACTACGAGGCCCAAAAACTCTATGTGCCGTGTAGGGGTCAGTATGGATTTTTTCCAATTGATAAGGAAACCCAAATTTTGCAAAAGATTCTGAGTCCATGACAGATGGGTCTCGAGAATGTGGTTGGAACGACCCATGATGAGGATGTCGTCCAAGTAGATTATGAGACGAACCCCTCGACTTCGAAGTAGAGCCACCACGGGCTTCATGAGTTTGGTGAAGCACCATGGGGCTGAGGACAGTCCGAATGGGAGGCAGGTGAATCTCCATTTCCTTCCTTGCCATATGAATTGCAGGAAGTCTTGGTGCTGACGTGCGATTGGTATCGTGAGATAGGCGTCCTGCAGGTCCAACTTGACCATCCAGTCCAACGGCTGGAGGAGATCCCGGAGGCAGTGTATGCCCTCCATTTTGAAATGGTTGTAGGCAATAAAAGTGTTGAGTTGCTTCAAGTTGATCACTGGGCGGACGCCGCCACCTTTTTTGGCAACTAAGAATAGGTTGCTTACGTACCCTGGGGTAGTCATAGGGATCTCTAAGATGGCCCGTTTGTGTGCCAATTCCAAAACCTCCTTGGTTACAAGGGAGGCGTCTTGGTGGGAAAACAGCATTCCCCGTGGTGGGAAGAGTTGTACCGGGAGGGATATGAACTCTAAGGTGTACCCTCTTACCGTGTTCAATACCCAGGCATTTGATGAGATGTGTGACCATGCATGGGAAAAATGTCAGAGTCTGCCCCCCACTGCCCATAGGGAAGAAGGAAATAGGAGAGCACTTACCATAAGGTCGTCTGCCTGGGCGGGAGCCACGTGGTCCATGAGCAACCCATGGTCGCCCACGTTGTGGGAAGAAGACCGGGGTGTTGCGGTGCTCCGTGAAGGAGGCGTGTCCAGTGTAGGAGCCTCGGCTCTGTCGGAATGAACCCCTATTGACATGGCCGGACAGACGGCTCCTGGCTCTTCCGGCCCCACCAAAAACCTTAGGTTGGAAAATCTTGCGCATGTTCGATTGCGCCTTGTCCAGGGCAGTGAAAGTATGGTCAAAGGAGCCCAGCTCCTTGACAAAATTGTCTCCGAACAGGAGACCACGGGCCTGGGTGCCCAGTTCGGTTATAGCCATGTTCACCAGTTTGGGTTCTATCTTTAATAAGATCGCTTTGCGACGCTCTGTGGCCACCGCACAGTTGGCATTGCCAATCAGACAAATCACCCTTTGTATCCAACCACTTATGGCGGAACGATCTAACTCTTGGTTGCTTTCGACCATATCAAAAATTTTTGTTGCCGGGCCCAATATATCTAATATCTTGTTCTGGCAATTGCGTAGGGAGAAATCAAGGCCCTTATTAGGCTTCCAGCCAGTCTTGCCCAAGAATTGAATGATTTTTGGATCAACTGCAGGTGTTCTGCAGGCCTCGTCAGGGACAGTGGGACGTGGGCATTCTGCCCGCAGCTTGTTACGTGTTACCTTATTTAAAGGTTTGCGAGTCCGCGATGCAACGTATTTGGCCACATGGGCCGAAGGGGACCAGTCCACTGACCTTGGATGACGCAGGTCATCGGGGTCGAACAGAGGTTCCCCGTAGGGGTCAACTAATCTGGTTGCATCGTCTGGGACCTTAAGCTCCATGTCATACGATTCAGATGGAGGCATAATATGTTCTCTGGGGTCATGGTCGTCGACCACACCATCTGACTCGGGATCTGATGGATCCTCCGAATCCATATCGGTCTCCTCTTCAATCTCGCTGAGATCTGGCTCAGATTCTAGTTGGGCTTTTGCCCGTTTCCATAACCTAGCCGATTTTGCCCAGCTAGTGGCTCTTTTGCGCGGTGGTATATTAGACGCGCCATCTGTGACAGGTATGTAGCTGTCCATCTGTGAGATTGAAGAGTGTTTTGTTTTTGCAGTGGCCTTACGGCCAGTGTGAGTTTGTGAAGGGGTTATTGCAGGTAAAGCCTGGGTAGTGATCGGCTGGGTCGATTTTTGTGCCCCAAGTAGAGCATGTGTAATAGTCTGTGAGATAGATTCAGACATCAGCCCCATGGCTGATGTGAGGGCCTTAGTCACAACATGGGACATGGTGTTGTCAATCATGTACTGCATATCAGCAGTAGGATCAAAATCAGCGGGGATAGTCGCCCCAATCTCAGGTACCCCTGTGGGTGTTTTAACAGACCCTAAATTGGTAATAAGAGACCCAGGAGGGGAGGGTATATCTTTGTCCCCAGGCATATTGTGTGTATAACACTGGCACCACAAATAATTGTACTGAGCTGATCTAAAATGGGTTGATTAACCCAAAGAGAAAGGGGGTAATATACCTTTATGAGAAAAACAAAGTACTCACAAAAAACAATTACAGTCACAAGAGAAAGGGTGAGGAGGGGGCAAGGAGCCGTCCGATCGCCACTGTAGCTTTAACCCAACTCCGAGGTCCGGTAGTTGGGGGTGGAGCTACATGCCGAGCGCAGGAAACCAGTAAAATGGCCGCCGCGAGCGGTACTGGAGAGAAGAAATTGGTAAGCTCTGCTCGCGGCGAATGTGTAACGCTCAGCGCGAGTACACATGCACGCGCCGCGAGCAGGGAGCCGGCATCCGAGCTCAGTGAGCTCTACAGGTGGCGGCTGGTCACGGCGGGGAAGAAGAAAGGGGGGGGGGCCGCGAAGCGCCGGATGCGGCTCCAGCCGACGTCCCCGAACCCCTGCAAATTAGGTTCTGAGGAGGCGACCGGCTGGAGCGTGGGGGGGCCTTAAAGGGGCGCAGAGGCCATGAAAACTCAAGGAAGATAATAAGGGTAAACTAATATAAACAATTAAGGCATCAAATGAAAGGATGCTACCAAAATATACTATAATATAATATAATACAATAATATAATGCAATATAATAGAATACAATATCACATAATATACAATATAATATAATATAAAGTAATCCCACAGTTAAGGGCCTGAGGGATCAGATATACTTAACTGAGGGAGCAGCAAAGAAAGAGGAACAGGATTGGTTGACAGAGCCTATTATGCTGGAGAAGTGGATCCTGATTGGCTGTTCCTGTTACTGGGAAGAATACACCTGAGACTGTTAATGTTATCATTGGTTATGTTTATAAAGTTTTTTCTTTGCTGCTGTCAGGGTACCTGTTGGTGCTGAATCCAGGGAAGACATCCTCTCTGTTTAGGGGCTCCCTGCCCCTAGCATTTCGGCATATTTCGGCCGTTTTCGCGCCGGCCGCGCTAGCTCCTCCCCCTTTTATGACGCGACGGCTAGCGTCGACGTCATGACGTCGGCATTTACATGAAGTGCCGGGAACCGCTATTCCGGACCTTTTGGGGGCGTGGTCCCTATTTAGGTAACAGGGTATTTAAAGGAAACCTTTACTACTGCTCATTGCCCTGTCGTGGTTCTAGCTTGCTAGTCACTCAGCGCGTTCTTTATCTTGTGTTTCTGGTTTTGACCCTTGCTTGTCTTTTGTCCTGTTGTCCTCTCCTCTCCTTTGACTCGGCTTGTATCTCGCTTACCTGTCCTCCGGCTCCCTCGACCTCGGCTTACCTTTTGACTATTCTTGTTTTGTCCCTACGTTAGTCCGGCCATTCTAAGGTCCGGTATACGTACCTCCTTCTGTCCGCACTCTGCGTATTGGATCCCTGTCAGTATCCTGACATTACGACAGGGCCAAATGGATCCTGCAGGTGCTAGTCCTCCTGACCCCAGATTTGAGGCCATGGACCATAGAATGGACCAAATGGCTTTAGCATTACAAACTTTGTTAACACGCTCCAGCACCCAGTCTGAAGAAATACGTTCCACTGCTAGCCACCCACTAAGTACTGGTTTGGAAGTAGCCACTGTAGGCGCATCTTCCCATGTCACTTCACCGTTACGTTATGGGGGTTCGCCTGATGCTTGTCGTGGTTTTTTAAACCAGATAAGCATACATTTCGAACTTCAACCCCGGGCTTACCCTACTGACAGGGCTAAAGTAGGCTTCATTATAACTCTGCTAATTGATAAAGCACTTAGATGGGCCAATCCCCTTTGGGAGAATGACAATCCTTTAGTCTACAACTACACTGCTTTTGTCACGGCTTTTAGAAGAATTTTTGACCCCCCAGGAAGGAAGATTAATGCGGCCAGATCCCTGTTACGCCTTAAACAACAGAATAGGACCCTTGTAGAATATGCACTAGAGTTTAGATCATTGGCAGCAGAAGTGAAATGGAACGAACAAGCTTTTATGGATGTATTCTTGAATGGGTTGTCTGATGAAATTCTAGATGAGATTGCCACAAGAGAACTTCCGGAAAATTTAGAGGATTTAGTATCCTTCATTTCCAGAATAGATGAACGCATGAGACAGAGGCAGAACACTCGGGAAAGAGTTACTAGACTTCCTGTAAGACTCGCTCCCTCATTTCAGAATCCTGACTCCTATAATCCTACTCCACCAGAACCTATGCAAATAGGTAATACTCGCTTATCTGAGGCTGAGAGACAGTACAGAAGAAGGGAGGGTCTCTGTTTATACTGCGGGCAGAGAGGTCACCTACGTCTTAGTTGCCCTAATCGTCCGGGAAACGCTCGCACCTAAGTTCCCTTAGAGGACGGGCCTTGGGTGTTTCGTTACTGTCCTCTATGCATAATAAAAAAGACCATAGGCTTCTGATTCCTGTCTCTCTAGCTTGGGAAAATGGGTTTATTTCTACGATGGTATTATTAGATTCTGGAGCAGCAGAAAGCTTTATAGACCAAACTTTCGCTAATAAGCATTGTATCCCATTCCAACTGAGAGATACACCCTTGGCCGTTGAGGCCATAGATGGTAGACCTTTATCTGAACCAGTAATATTCCATGAGACCAAACCCGTTACGCTTACTGTTGGTATTTTCCACGAGGAGTTGATTTCCCTTCTGTTAATTTCCTCCCCGGCAGTCCCAGTGGTGCTAGGATATTCTTGGCTCAAGAGACACAACCCTCAGATTGACTGGGAGGGTGGAGAAATCGTTTCTTGGGGTATGGGTTGTAGGAAAGAATGTCTGCAGAGAGTTACTTCTGTTTGCCCCGTAAACTCTTATACTAACTCTTCCCAATCCACAGACGTTCAGATACCATTACAATATCTAGACCTCCAATCTGTATTTGACAAGGGTAAGGCGGATACTTTACCTCCCCACCGGTCTTATGACTGTTCTATTAAACTTTTCCCTGGTACTATGCCTCCCAGGAGTACGGTATACCCTTTATCCACCAAGGAAAATTTAGTTTTAGAAGAATACATCAAGGAGAATTTAGACAAAGGATTTATTAGAAAGTCTTCTTCTCCGGCGGGGGCGGGTTTCTTTTTTGTAGAAAAGAAAGACGGTACCTTACGCCCTTGTATAGACTATCGGGGATTGAACAAAATTACTATCAGGAATGCTTACCCTATTCCTTTGATTACTGAACTCTTTGACAGACTAAAGGGCTCGAGTATTTTTACTAAACTTGACTTAAGAGGAGCATATAACTTAGTGCGAATTAAACAAGGAGATGAATGGATGACAGCATTTAATACCCGTTACGGGCATTATGAGTATACCGTAATGCCGTTTGGGCTTTGTAACGCCCCGGCCGTCTTCCAAGACTTGATCAATGAAGTTCTTAGAGAATTCCAACATGAATGTGTGATTGTATATTTGGATGATATACTAATACATTCTAGAGACATTAATTCACATCATAGACAAGTCAGAAAGGTATTACAGAAACTTTTACAACATGGATTGTATTGTAAATTGGAAAAATGTAGCTTTGACCAGTCTCAGGTAACTTTCTTAGGTTACGTAATTTCCAAAGACGGGTTTATGATGGACCCGACCAAACTAAAATCGATTTTAGATTGGCCTTTACCTAAGGGACTCAAAGCCATACAAAGATTTCTTGGATTTTCTAATTATTACAGACGTTTTATTAAAGGGTACTCCTCTGTTATCGCTCCTATCACTAATATGACCAAACAAGGAGCCGATACCAAAACCTGGTCTACTGAGGCTTTATCTGCTTTCGAAACGCTCAAACAGTCTTTTGCCTCAGCACCTGTATTAGTTCATCCTGATACCTCTCTACCCTTTTTACTTGAAGTTGATGCGTCTGAAACAGGGATAGGCGCAGTGTTGTCCCAAAGACAAAGTTTAGATAAGCCGCTGCACCCTTGCGGTTTTTTTTCCAAGAAACTATCACACACTGAAAGGAGATATGACATTGGTGATAGAGAACTTTTAGCTATCATTATGGCATTAAAGGAATGGAGACATCTGTTAGAGGGCACTGTCCTCCCAGTTACTATCTTGACTGATCACAAAAATTTATCTTATATGGGGGAGGCCAAAAGATTATCTGCCAGGCAGGCACGTTGGTCTATGTTCCTTACACACTTTAATTATATGCTTACTTACAGGCCTGGTTCTAAGAACACTAAGGCAGACGCTTTGTCTCGTCAGCACGAACCTATCGCCTCTACAGAAGACACTTTGTTCCCTATTATTCCTGAAATCAATATTATCGCCAACACCAATGTCAAAATACACTCTCCATTGCTCGTAGATATTATGAACGAACAATCTCTTGCTCCCGAGCGTACTCCTGTGGGCCGCTTGTTCGTGTCTCCAAAATTCCAAGTAGACATTATTCGCTGTTTTCACGATAGCAAGTTCGCTGGTCACCCCGGCATCCACAAAACTTACTGCCTGATCTCCAAAGACTTCTGGTGGCCTGGTTTACGTAGGGATGTGGAAGACTTTGTCAAGGCTTGCAATGTTTGTGTCAGGAATAAACTTCCACGGGATCTCCCTTGTGGTTTATTGCAGCCCTTAGTCGTTCCCAACAAACCTTGGGCTTGTTTGGCTATGGATTTTATTGTTGATCTACCGGCTTCCAGTAGGCATACGGTTATCCTCACGGTCCTTGACAGGTTTACTAAAATGGCTCATTTCATTCCCTTGCCTAAACTTCCGTCCTCTCCTGAACTGGCCGTGATATTTGCTAGAGAAATTTTCCGTTTGCATGGTATTCCCAATGAGATTGTGTTGGACAGGGGTTCCCAGTTTATTTCCCGTTTTTGGAGATCCTTCTGTTCCCAGTTGGGCATCAAACTGAATTTTTATTCGGCCTATCATCCTCAATCTAACGGAGCAGCCGAACGCACTAACCAAAAAATTGAGCAATATCTACGTTGTTTTGTTTCTGAACACCAGGATGACTGGGTCGGTCTGATTCCTTGGGCGGAGTTTGCTCACAACAACCTTGTTTGTGGTTCCACTCGTAATAGCCCCTTTTTCTTGAACTATGGCTTTAACCCTACTGTTCTTCCGTCGGTGTCTCCTTCCCAGGGTATACCGTCGGTTGATATTCATATAGCCAACCTGAGAAAGTTGTGGGATCAGACTCGACAAATTCTTACACGTAGTTCCGCAGTGTTTAAGTCGCATGCTGATAGGCGTAGACGGCCTGCTCCTATTTTTTGTACCAGACACATTCGCCTGAAAGTCCCTTCCTTGAAGTTTGCTCCTCGTTACATAGGCCCTTACAGGGTGCTGAGGAGGATCAACCCGGTTTCTTATTTGCTGGACCTGCCCCCTACTCTACGCATCCCTAACTCTTTTCATGTGTCTTTATTGAAACCTCTTGTTTGTAACAGATTTTCCTCCCGCTCTGCTCCTCCATCCTCGGTCCGTGTGGATGGTCAGGAGGAATATATCATTAAGTCCATCCTTGATTCTCGTATTTCTAGGGGGAAGCTGCAATACCTCATAGACTGGAAAGGTTATGGTCCAGAAGAGAGGTCTTGGGTTCCTTGTATAGACGTGCATGCTCCTCGTCTTCTTCGGGCCTTCCACGTTCGTTTTCCTTCTAAGCCCGGTCCCATCCGCCCGGTGGGCGTTTCTAGAAGGGGGGGTACTGTCAGGGTACCTGTTGGTGCTGAATCCAGGGAAGACATCCTCTCTGTTTAGGGGCTCCCTGCCCCTAGCATTTCGGCATATTCCGGCCGTTTTCGCGCCGGCCGCGCTAGCTCCTCCCCCTTTTATGACGCGACGGCTAGCGTCGACGTCATGACGTCGGCATTTACGTGAAGTGCCGGGAACCGCTATTCCGGACCTTTTGGGGGCGTGGTCTCAATTTAGGTAACAGGGTATTTAAAGGAAACCTTTACTACTGCTCATTGCCCTGTCGTGGTTCTAGCTTGCTAGTCACTCAGCGCGTTCTTTCTCTTGTGTTTCCGGTTTTGACCCTTGCTTGTCTTTTGTCCTGTTGTCCTCTCCTCTCCTTTGACTCGGCTTGTATCTCGCTTACCTGTCCTCCGGCTCCCTCGACCTCGGCTTACCTTTTGACTATTCTTGTTTTGTCCCTACGTTAGTCCGGCCATTCTAAGGTCCGGTATACGTACCTCCTTCTGTCCGCACTCTGCGTATTGGATCCCTGTCAGTATCCTGACAGCTGCTGAGGGAAATAAAAAAAGAGTGCAGCATAATAGGAGCCTCCGTGTCTTAATAAAATCGTTCTTTTGGCTGTTTCTCCATAAGCCTTTAGAGGTATATTTTTGCACAAATGTATTTCCATCCAGCAGAAATGCCAATGTCTTACACTGAGAAAAGGGACAACACCACTGCACCAAATACAAAAAGTGGTATACAATGTATAACCTATGTCTTAGGCGCAAAAGAAAAACTATTACAGAATAGTGTAATCACACCACTTAAAGGACCACTCTAGGCACCCAGACCACTTCAGCTTAATGAAGTGGTCTGGGTGCCAGGTCCATCTAGGATTAACCCTGCCTGAAACTGCTATGTTTACCTATGGGTTAATCCAGCCTCTAGTGGCTGTCTCATTGACAGCCACTAGAGGCGCTTCCACGCTTCTCACCGTGATTTTCACAGTGAGAAGACACCAGCGTCCATAGGAAAGCATATGGACTGGCTGAATGCGCGCGTGGCTCTTACCGCGCATGCGCATTCAGCCGATGAAGACCGAAGGAGGAGGAGAGACCACAGCACCGAGGGAGCACAGCACTGGATAAAGGTAAGATTTTAACCCCTTCCTCTCCATCCAGTCCGGCGGGAGTGGGACCCTGAGGGTGGGGGCACCCTCAGGGCACTATAGTGCCATGAAAAAGAGTTTGTTTTCCTGGCACTATAATGGTCCTTTAATAGTGAAAAGGTGTTTATAATAATACATCTGTTACCTGGAGCAAGTATAATGATAAGCTGATGTCCCGTTGCAGATACTCTGTATTATGGTAACAGTAGTCAATGGAAAAAGGAAAAACTTATAGTGTAATATTTATTGTAATACAATATGTGCAGACATAAAAAAAACACAATGTAAAATGGCACAAAAAGAATATTTTGTGCAAAAGAACCTCGCCCCTCATGGGGCCACTTATCTCCAAAGGGATGTCCTCTCGGATGTATAGTAAGTCCTGTGGAATTCTGAGGGTCCTAAGACATCAAAATATGTCCTTCTTGTAAGTCACAAATCCGGAATGAAGAATGGAGGGAAGCACTACTTTGTACAGGCTGGTCCGAGAGTTCAATGCAGTAGATACTCGCTCGACGCGTTTCGTCTCTGGAATAGACTTTTTTCAAGAGCTGTCTTCTGTCAGGCTCTGTTTCGTTTAAATATCCTGATATCGGTATAGCCGCCCACTTTTGTGGATGTCATCTATGCGTCGGACGCAACCGCGTGTACTTGGAGGCACACGCACCCGACGTCGCGAGAGGGAAGACGTCCACACATCTCTCTACACTTGGCCTCCGTGCGCGCGCGCCCCCAAAGTCCGCGGTCACGTCCGTTTATATAATTAAACTTTATTCAGATATGGCATATGAAACTTAACATAATAGATACATACACTCTCGAGGACATGAGGCACTCCCAAATTCCAACAAATATAAAAAAAATTTATCAGATCCATAAAAAATAATAATATATAGTTATATGGACACAATATAGATAAAAAAAATTATAAAAGATAAACGGTTATAATTTGGATTTGGAGGGCTCGTTTAGCCGAAAGTGTAATGTGCCACATATATACAATACAGCAAAATTACATATTTCAACTAAATAACATATTATTTCCAAAACATTTACAAACTCTTATTATTGTATACAACATATATTATTATCTGTTGGGAAACAGGTTAGACAAAGATGAATAGAACAAATGTAAGAGTTTATATGAACATCTTAAGCTCAAAAAAGTTTAAGACTATAAAACATATATATATTAATATATAATATGCTTCGAGACCTAAATTTTAAGGAGAGAATGGAGAAGAGAGTTAGAGTTATTTGGTAGAAAACAAATATATTAATCAAACCAACTTAGAGATATGTACAGAGGGATAAATATAAAAATATATATGAATAAAATGTAAAAAATTGATTTATTAAAAAATAAATAAAAAGATACAAACGAATGAATAAATACATTTGTAAGAGACATGTATGGAAAAATTATTTCTTAAGAAACTACATATAAAAGATGAATAGAATTATTGCATAAAAGCTAAATGTCAATCTCGTTATTTAACCCATTAGGACTTAATTTTTTCCGTTTAAAAATCCATTCTGTTTCTCTTTTGGTTAATGCCAGCGCTATATCTCCTCCTCTCCAGTGTGGCTCCACCACATCTATACCAATACACATAAATGTCTGAAAGTTAAAATCGTTACAATTTTGGCAATGACTGGGGACACTGTGTTTGAGGCTATTAGTTCTGATGTTATAAAAATTGTCTAGTAGTCTTTCGTGAATTGTTCTTGCGGTTCTCCCGATGTATTGCATCCCACACTTACATTGTAATAGATCAATAAAAAAAATGTTTTTACAGTTTATAAAATGCTTAGTAGTAAAAATTTATTTTGTTATAAAGCGTTCAAATTTTTCTGTTTTTCTCTTTTTGGTATTTGCAAGTGGAACAGTTTCCACATCTAAAAAACACTTTAGGCTTTTCAAATATTTTGTTAAAAGGGTTTTCTGGTTGTTTTTATTTTTTTTTTATCCTGTGTAAAGAGCTGGGGGCTAGTTGTTTTTTTAAAAAATATTAGCTCTTTTAAACACGGTAATGGGTTTCTATGGGAGAATTTTGCCTAAAATTTGGTCTTGTAGTATAATAGGCCAATGTTTATTCATTATTTTCTTAAGTTTAAATGCTTGATTATTTCACTGGGTGAGTAGGGAAAATTGAAATTCCCCTGTGTCACTTTTTGTCTTTTCTTTCTATTTTTGAGACCTCTTCTTTGGCTTTATTTAACAATTCTTTTGGATACATTTTCTTTATAAATTTCTCCTCTAATCTCTGAATTTGCTGTTGACAATCTTAATTTTTTTGAACAATTACGTTTAATCCTCGTGAATTGGTTCGATGGGATATTTTTTAGCCACTTATGATAGTGGCAACTTGTAAAATCAATAAAACTGTTTCAATCTCCTTTCCACTCCAAACCCTACCACTACTAGAGTGTATGCAGACTCTGGAACCTTTACATATATTCCTTTATCCTCACTCACTAGTATCACCAATTTTTGTTTTATGTTTCCTCACAATCCCCTTTTCTCCCTCTATATACGCCCTCAGTACCTATAGGTGGCCTTTTGGGCATGTCTAATTTTGGACACCCACGAGAATCACATTAGATCAAGAGAGGCAGTCTATTTAGGAACGTCTTTTGTATAATACTAATAAAGTATCTTCAGGATTTTTATTAAAGGGACAGAATCTCTTTCTTTTGTGTTTCAATCTGTAGTTTTAAAAAAGGTCTTACTTTCTATTTTGAAATCTTCAATAAAAATATATATATATCTAAAAAATCAAGTGTTTTTATTAAAAATTGATATGAATTTTAAACCTCCATGATTGGAGTTAATAAGTTCTATAAAATCTTGTAAAGTTTCCTCCTTACCTTTACAGATCATGAGGACATTGTCTATGTACCTCCTCCAGAGCATGAGATTTTCGGAGCAGATTTTATTGCTCAAGATGTTTTTTTCCTCCCAGTTTGCCACAAAAATGTTGGCATAACTGGGTTCAAATCTCGTGCCCATAGTTGTTGCTTTTAATTAGAGGAAGTTCTTACCTTTGAACCAGAAATAGTTGTGTGTCAAAATGAAATTGATACAGTCAAAAATATAATTGGACTGTAAAGGATCCATATCTGGATCCAAGAATAATATTTCTTGGACAGCTTTGGTCCCCAATGTATGGTCAATCACTGTGTACAGTAAACTGACATCCATTGTGACCCACAAGTATTTCTAGTTCCAAGAGGCGCTAGAACGTTCCCTCATGATCTGGGAGGAATCTCCAAGATATGGTTTTGCTTTTTTTTGTAAAAATGTATCCACATACAATAGATTACACGTAAGAGAATCAGTTCCAGTGACTTTTGGATGTCCTGTTTTTTATTTTTTTTTATATATCCTTGTGGATATTGGGCAGAGAATAATAATCTGAGCGTTTAGGGAAATCTATAAATAAATATTTAAATTCGGCTTTGGTTAAAACTTCTTTGTTTATGCCTTCCTCTAATAATAATAATCTTTTTTTTTTTTTTGGTCATTGTTTATTTTATTTTGTAAAGTTGACAGTGAATTAACAGTAAATAAACATAACTGCGGTGAAAACAGGTCAGATAGAAAGGTAGATAGATGCTCCCAGGGACCTAGCTCCCGCTTCCCCCAGCACTGCCTATTATTGTAGTAGGGGTAGGGCGCGTATCTGCTACTCTACGTCCTCGCCCGATCTGAGCCCCTAGAGCCATCTAGTGGTGACGTGGCCTGTCAACCTCCCCCGGCCCGGGAATAACATCTACCATGTGCAGCCCAATGAAATTTGTCATAAGGTGTAGCTTCATGCCTGAGGGGTATGCGGGTGGGTGTCAGCGCTCTGGCTTAATTAGGTCGTGTGTAGACAAGGTGGGTGCCTTGATTCCTATTCCATGCTGGTCCCCACTCCCCTCGACCCCCACTCCCCCCCCGCCATGATCCAGGTTGATGAGTCGTCAGGTAGACGATGAGCGAGTTGCGGAAGCGGAGGTCTTAGCTTGCAGTGTATCCCTAGTGCCCCCGTCTCAATTTGACAGGCTGTTATATTCCCCCGCCATGGAGTCAATTTGTGGTTCCTCTCCGTTCAATTCGGATGCCAGCATGTGAACACTCCCGACTACAACCCTAGTTGCCCCATTCTAGGCCTGTTGCGGGCCCGCGCCGTCAGAGTCAGGTAGGTTTGGTCACGTCTTGTATCCATGACATTTACGTGTGTGCCTGGGTGCTTGTTATGTGTGGGCTCTAATCTAATCGTGCTGTTCCGTCCTGTGCGTCCGGGTGGGTGTTCCCATGCCCGCAGCTCAGGGCCAGGTGGCTTAACGATCAGGGCGTCTAATGTCGGGCAACCCTGGTGGAATGCGGGTGCGTTAGGCAGTGTACTTATGTGTCGTCTGTCGATTCCCACCCCATGAGGGGGGGAGTGGGA